GCAGAGACATCACTTTGCCAATAAAGGTCCGTCTAGTCAAGGCTATGATTTTTCTAATGGTCATGCATGGATGTGAGAGTTGGACTATAAAGAGGGCTAAGTGCCAAAGAATTGATGCTTTTGAACTGTGGTGTTGGAGAAGACTCTTGAGAGTCCCTTGGACTGCAAGGAGATCCAACCAGTTCATCCTAAAGGAAATCAGTCCTGAATATTCATTGGAAGGACTGATGCTAAAGCTGGAGCTCCAATACTTTGGCCTCCTGATGTGAAGAACTGACTCATTGGAAAAGACCCTGATGCTAGGAAAGACTGAAGGCAGGAGGAGAAAGGGATGACAGAGGATGAGATGGTTGGATGGCATCACTGAGTCAATGGACATGAGTTTGATCAAGCTTTTGGAGTTGGTGATGGACAGGGAAGCCTGGTGTGCTGCAGTTCATGGGGTTGCAAAGAGTTGGACATGACTGAGTGACTAAACTGAACTGAATGAAGGTGGTACCTGAGCTTAGATAGACTTTTTGATTTTGCCCATGAACTAACAACACTGCAGCTTGCTGATAAGAGATCATGTGAGCTTGGAGATTCGGTTTGCCAAAGGATTCTTTGAATGAATAAAAATTCTGATCTGTGAAGGTCAGTTTCTCTACTCAAGTGAGAACAATGTTGTTTGCCTTCTAATCAGACACACACAGCATTTAAAGAATCCAGGAGCCCCACAAAAGTGATGTGCAGCCAGGGCATGGGCAGCTCCTTATGCAAGAAATGAGTAATCCTTAATAAAGGTGCAAATGACCCTGGCTTTTTTCTGTCCTGTGATCAGTTGCTTTAATGATATGCCCTTCAGTGCTTCACAGGGAAAACACTATAAAGTTTCCTTTCTTATACTGCTTCAAGGAGGACGGAATTGAGTCCAGTCAGCCCTCCCCCATGCTGTATTTGATTAGGCGATAAGACCACTGAAGTTGGCCTCAGTTTTGTTGAAAAGCCAGCATTCCCTCTCTCTTTTGGGGTGATCCATGCCTTTGAGCAGCCATGTACTTGAAACAGCAGGAGTCACCATCTTTATCGTTAGGCTGTGGAATTTGTTTTAGACAAATTCTAAATCCAGTCTTATACTTTTTCTTTTTGTCTGTGACAAAGGTGACCCAACTGTGCTTTTTTGATATTGTGCACACAGCTCTTTTTGCTTATATTACAGAGACATGTAACAGAATACAAAGGATAAAATTGTGTGTGTGTATGCGTTTGTGCATGTAGTAAAGACACACATTTCATGACTAAATCCAATGACATAATCAAAAAGATGTTGTCCTCCTAGTCATGAGCCAACAGGTACAGATCACCTTTCAGAACATTTCTTACAGTGCTGAGATACTGTTCAAAAATAATAGAACTATGAAAACATCACATTGACAGAGTAGTCCATATTAAGATTTTACTTAAAGAAGGCATGATTGGGTGAATATGACATTGACAGCAATGGCATTAGGGTTTACAGAGTTAATAAAATATTCTAAGAAGAATATTATAGGATTCCAATTGGAGTGTACCATTTTTCATTTTACTTTTTATTTCTAAAAGTAAGTGAACTCCAGTGGTCAGAACTTTAGCCTTAATACCTTATTTCTGCCTAGGAGAGAGAGGTATAGGGAATTTTTTTTTTTTTTAGTATATATCAGACTCCAATATAATTTTATAATACAGTGCTTACAAAGAAATAAGTTAGTTTAACAGTGTGGTAAAATGCATGTGCCTCAGGGCATTTGGAAAATATGCAGGTAGTAAAACTGCATAATGCTAATGCATTCCTCAATAAACAAATGTTCCATGTTTAAGTGATTAAATTTACATGGGAGAAAAAAAGGAGAAATGGAGACTAACATGGAGAAGAGAACTAGTTTAGGCAGAATGGTAGTGGCATCTCTGAAGACTTTATTTAGCTTTCTGGGTTAGTTGAACAAGTATTCTTGCAAATCTGAAATGAATAGCAACTCTGTTTACTATGACAGGTTTTATTTGTCTTGGGTGCAACCAAGACCGCATGCTGTGTTTTGTCATGTTGGAAATACTAAAGCAGATTTCCACTGTGACTGTGATTTTTTTTTTTTTTTACAAAAGCCTTAACACCTCAGTCTCAACTTAGCCAGCTAAAAGCAATAAGTTTTCTATTCCTTACCAGACAGACATCAATAAATCTTAAATCCTTCCACTCAAAGCACACAGCTGCTGTTCACTATCCTGGTTGTCATCTTAGGTCACTGCCTTACATGGCCTGCTCCTTCTCATTTCCAGGGCTGCCTTTCTGTTTTTACTCTCACAAAACTGATCTTCAGAATTTTCTTTCTCTTTCATTTAATACAGCTTCTTTACCTTCATACCCTAGGAGGGTGTGTCACTATTAGCATAATGCCTTCCCCAAACCAATGACGCAGAAATTTGTACCTAGTGTAAACATGGCTAGCATTCTACTTTCCCCCTTCATTTATATCCTCTAGACAGAGACATGTTTTGAAGCTACTGTCTCCAACCACATTCACCTATTGGAGTGCTGATTCTGCTGAATTTATGGAAAATATATACACTGGGGCTTATCACTTGGTTGAGAGTAGCACAGCATATTGTGAAACTGTTTAGATCTCCTTTCCACCTTAGAATAATGCTGGATCCTTGCAGAATTCTTATCACATTCTTTTTTATGCATTATCAGATTCATTTAGTTAGCAGGGAGATCCAGGAAGAACTGGAAGACTAAGAGTGTAGGAAAGAAGGAAAGATTATTGTTTCCACAGGTCAGAATTCAGTCCTTTTGTCTGTCTTTACTCTAGTTTGATATGGGTTCAGTGCTTTTAAAGTCATATCATTCTGTTTGAAATGAGTTTGAAGCTAATGTTACACTGAGAAGCCTGGTCACCAGTAGAGACTAGAGCACGGTTAATACAGGCATGCCCTGTGGAGTCGAGCAGAATGAGACTGAGACGGTGGGGAAGGGCTGGGACCAGCTGCAGTGCCCTGCCTGCTTCTTGTGGACACGCGGAGGAGCGCTCACCTTTAGTTATGATATGAGATCTCCCCAAACAGTGACTGCTCTGCACCCTGCGTGTCTGATGAGGGGCAGAGGTGAAACTGGAAAGGGGGATAAAAAGTGTTAGTCCTTCAGTTGTATCCAACTCTGCAACCCCATGGACTATAGCCCGCCAGGCTCCTCTGTCTCTGGAATTCTCCAGGCAAGAGTACTGGAGTGGGTAGGTAACCATCCCCTTCTTCAGGGGATCTTCCTGACTCAGGGATCGAAGCCAAGTCTCGCACATTGCAGGCAGATTCTTTACCGTCTGATTGACCAGGGAAGCCCCAGTGGGGACAGCTGTGCACACTGGGTGTCTGATGAGGGCTCGAGGTGAAACTGGAGAGGAGGAGGAGGCTCACTCTAATACTGCTGACATTCAAACAGCTATTTAAACAGCTGCTGCATACCAGGCTAGCGGCAGACACTCGGGGACTGCTGCAGTGAGCGAGTGTCTGCTCCTGTGGAGCGCATGTCGCAGCAAAGGGAACATACAGGTAAAGAAGCAGTATTAGATAGTGAAGGACAATAGAAACTAGAGCAAGATATGAGGAAGGAGAGTGGTGGACGGGCCCATGTTGATATGGCAGTCACTAAGAGGTGACATGTGCCCAGGCCAAATGAGAAGCTACTTGAGAGTTTTTCACACAGGGAGACAGGAAGTGCAGAAGTCCTAACAAACACATAATCTCTGGTTATTCAAGGCACAGAAAGAAAATCTTTGCTCTGCAACTCACCAACATAAGGGAGGGGAAAACTGATATGTGAAGTTGGAGTGATGGAGTAAAGAGAAGTTAAGAAATGAAGATCCCAGGAAAGAATTCATGCTAGGAATATTGATAAGCAATAAAGTCGACAGTGCATATGTTTTAAAAGTAAAATGATCATATATGTAGTTTAAAGGACAAAGCTGGAGGCTCAGAAGAATAACTAGAAATAAGTAGGGTGTCTTATGTCATGCAAAGTAGCAGGATGAGAGAACTTCAAAGCCTAGTGTTTGACATGCTGCTGTTACCGCGCTGTTCTTATTGGAATATCTCCAGCAGAAACACTAGTACATTTGTGGATGTTTTCACAAATGATGGCAATCTCCTTTTAAAATACTTCTTAAAAGAGTTGAGTAGATTTTTGTGTTTGACAAGTTAGCTCAGCCTAATTCTCCCTCTAAGTTCCTCTGAGTAGCGCTCTGTTTCCCCACCTCTTGCAGCAGAGCACAGATCTCATAAGTAATAGCCTTAACCTTCAGCTGGAGGCGTGTGCTGCTTACATACTGTTCCTTTACCGTGAAGGTGGCTGGGCACTGTTGATGCCCACCAATAAGATAAGCTACCTCTGCAAATAAAAACCATCTCAGGAAACGTCCACATTTTAGAAGATCATCAGGATGCTAGCAAAACCTACAGGTGCAATTTAATTTTTTATTCTAATTAACACACGCATGCAATTTGCTTACAGAAACCAAGTGATTAGACACATAGTTAATTCATACATTTGGATTTTTCTCCTTCTAAGTTCTGTTTTCTTTGGAATACAGTGCATATTGAGGCATCATGGAGACGTGCCAAACATCTTGGCCTCTCTGCCACTCTTGGACTCCAAGAAGTACATCTGAAGTCTTCAAATTCCATTACAGACTTGCAGCTTACTGTTCCTATTATAAAGAGCAATGTCTAGGGCACATAAGTTTACTGCTCTATTTTTCTTTTGGCAGAATTAAGATGCTCTGGTTTCAAGGAAATAGCATGCAACTTGCCAAACACTCCTTTCAACTGCTCTTGAGAAATCTCTCTGCCTCAAAGACTGCTCTGCCTGTGCTGACCTTATTCACAAAGGTACAGAGGAAAAAGTAAAATTACTACTTTAAAAACATAAAGTATTCAGATGTTGGGGAAGAAAGTTGTACATTTAAAAAAGGGGGGAAATGTTGAAAGGAAAGCAAGCAATGGTATAAGTTTTCTTCAGACTCTCTCATCAGTTTACAACAGTGGTAACTCTCACCCTACCCAGATACTTCATTGTCTCACTGTTTTCAGAGAGTAAATTAATATATTTGTCATCTAATCCTTACATTGAAAGAACTGATGTTTACAAGTGTATCATTTAGAAATATAGTCAGTTCTTGTTATTTGTGATAGTCATAGTCTATAAAGTCGCTACAAATACTGAATTAGCAAGTACTGAACCACTGCTCCTAGGCTGACTATAGGGTTAGAGTCCTTTGAGCATCTGGTCACAAAGTTTTTGTCAGCTGATCAATACATAACCTTTGTTTTAAGGAAGATGGTCGGCTCTGCCAAATACTGCTGGTAGTTTGAAAGAATGAAGTCTGCAAACTGACCAATGGATTTGGCAACATGAAGGTCATTGGAACTTACGAGCATTTTCAGAGAAATGATGAGGAGAAAGCTCTAGGGAGTTGGTCAAGAGAGGATAAGAGGAGGGGAAAAAATACATAACCTTGTTTTAGGTGTGTCTCTGTTTAAAGGCACCTTATTTAATGAACACTGTTGATCCATTACCACCGAGCTCAGGGCCAGCAGCACCATAACACGTGCCTGAGCGAAGCTCATCGGACACAGCACTTTCTCCCTGAGGCACAGCACAGCCTTCTTATGCTTAGAAACAACGGACAGCACTTCAGCACTGCACTTGGGCTATTTTAAATGGCAGGAAAACACATAAATGCAAGAATCATGGCACTCAGTAGATCATGATTTGGCCACCTGATGCGAAGAACTGACTCATTGGAAAAGATCCTGATGCTGGGAAAGATTGAAGGCAGGAGGAGAAGGTGACAACAGAGGATGAGGTGGTTGGATGGCATCATGGACTCAATGGACATGAATTTGAGCAAGCTCCAGGAGTTGGTGATGGACAGGGAAGCCTGACATGCTGCAGTCCATGGGGT